AGCCACCAGCCATGTGGCAAGGTATAGATTTATAGAAATGGGTTAATTTAAGATATAAGAACAGTTAGCAAGAAGCCTGCCATGGCCATACAGTTTATAAGTGTTATATGCGTCTGAGTGATTATTTTATAAGTGGATTGTGGGACTGCGGGGCTTGGGGAACCTGGAGAGAAGCCCTCCAGCAACAGAACTGGAGGGACACCGTGCTAATAAAACAAGCAAAATAAACAAAAGGACAAATGTCAGATAAATCTACCTCTGTGGAAAGCACCAAGTAATCAAATTCATAGAGACAGAAAGTAGAATGTTGTTTCCAAAAGAAAGAGAAATGTCTCGTTCTGGAATGCTGTGGTAGATGCTAACAAGAGAATTAGAAATTTATCTAATTGGGAATTTGTCTAATGACACCCTTCAGTTGGTAAGGTAACAGAATAAGTTCTGGAAGTAGGTGGTGGTAATGGACCATATCAAAGTACTGTGGCAATAGTGCCCCAGTAAAAGATAAGGCTTTGTGCCCTTTTCTGAAGAGAAAGGAAGAGGAGTGGATGGGGGAGAAAAGAGGTTCAGGAGAGGGACTGAGATGAGAGAAGGGATGGATGGGAAACTGATTGGGCTAGAAAACAATTAACTAATAATTTAACTTTAAAAAGATAAGGCATTTATAATATATATTTTACCACAATCAGAATATTGCATGTATTTTTCTAAAGCATATTTTGAACTCATTATTTCACATTTTTATTCTTTTCAGTATAGATTATTTTTGTTACATTAAAATGTTTGACAACTACACTTTGAGTCAATCAATAAGAAAAAAAAAATGAATCCATGGGTATTTACTGAATACTTTCTAGATTAATAGACTTGTAATTGTTTCCTTAAATGTTCCAGCATGTTCACTTGGATATAAAAATGCAATATGAAAAACAGCTATTTCTTTACCCAAAGTTAGAAATTACCAAAATGAACTGTCTCTTTTATTTGAAATAAAACAAAGTCAAAATTCACTGCATTTTTATAGCTGATGGCTTGAAGACAACGAACAAAAGGGTCACCTCTGGGTTAACTATATAGGATAAAATTCTTTGTCCAGGAAAGAAATCTCTTCAAAAAATCAGAGGTGACCAAAAGTAGTACATAATAACCAAAGAATTTAATCATAACTGATAGATTAAATATTTATGATAACAATCAGTATTCATTTAGTTCAAGCAAGCTCAGCAGGCACAGGACACAGGGAAAAGAATGAAAAAGAATGGGTTTTGAAATTCTAGAAAGAATTCAAAGAAAATCTTTGAGTCATTGTACAAATCAAGGCTCCAATTACCACAGCTTTTACTGGCTGCTTGTGTTTTCTATTCCCAATAGTACAAACAGAATGATTTTAATTGTTATAAAAATTGACTGTACTTACGCCTGCTGGAAATATCTGAATAACATTTCCAGCTATGTCCAAGATTCTTAGTTTTTTAAGATGACAAAGTCCCTGTGTTAGAAGACAAAAGAGTTTTTAATATAAAATTGTAAGTATTAACTTTTAGTTCAGAGTTGACTGAGGTGTCTCTCCATCAAGACAGTCTTTCCCAAGGACATCTCTATGGAATGTCAAATATCTACGAATCCTCACTTCTTCTGAGCACTGCAGAGCAATATGCCACATTCTACGTTAACTGTTTCTAGGCCTGAACCAAGTCTCACTCTTACTAAGTGTAGTCATAGGCAAGTTCCTAAGCATCTTTTTGGATTTTAATTTCTCCCCTCTTCTAAAGAGAAATTATATATGAATGTGATTGTTAAGCGGATTAACTGAGTTACCAAACTCAAACCACCTAATATTCAGTGAGGACTCTTAGATAGTACCTATTATCAAAGTAGAACCCTGTGAAACAGAAAACAGCTATAATCCTGAAACATTTTCTGTGATGATAATTTCACCAGAATTTATAGTACATCTATCTTTTGCTTAATACTAGGATAACACAACCCTTTCCTCATAAAAGAAATAAAGCCCATGATTATACCTACATGGTCAACACAACTGTGTATTACCACAGTAGCCACATGGTTGTTATAGAACATCTTATTTCTAGTATTTCTATTAACAAGCAAATGAAAACTAGGGTTTTAAAACCTAAAAACATGAAAAATGTTTTAAATTGAAAAACAAAGGTATAATTTATTAAATGACTTCAATTATGGTAGGAATGTATCTGCAGTGCTATTATTTTGGTGGCAGAGTTTCTCCCTAGGGAAATGGTATATCTCCTTAGCCATATCTAATAGTCTCCATCTTTAATTGCATGCTAACACAAGTTACATCCTCTGGGAATAGAAGATGAGTCTGCAGTACTGAATGTACTTTAGATTCCTATCTTTGTAAATGCCAGGTCAAGAAACAGAGTTGGACAGAAATTGTTCCATAAAGAGAACATTGTTACTGGGATAGAACTGTAGGAGAAAAGAACCTGTAGAAGAAGAGTATTAAAACAACAGAAAATGACCCAAAAAAAACTGGCAAAGGAGATATTAATATATAAAAATTCTTTTTTAATTCTTTTAGAACATGTAAATATATATATTTATATATTTACTATCCACAGAGACCAGAAAAGGGCATCAGATTCCCCTATAAATGGAGTTATAGATGGCTGTCAACTACTATGTGTGTGCTGGAAATTGAACCTGGGTCCTCTGTAAGAGCATCAAGTGCTCTGAACCACTGAGCCATCTCTCTAGTCCCTGGATGTGGATCTTCATTCTTCCTGTTTTGCAGGGAGAAAGACTACATTTATCCCCCCCCTCCAAAAAATATCAAACTTATCCCATTTACCTAGTTTAAGTCTTATGTCTATCACTGGCAAATCACAATGTCCAGTGTGAAGGACTATTCTGATTTGGCTAGGTGATCTGAGTAGTGGGACAGGACAACACTAAGCAAGCCTCAAAGACTTAGGGCAGGGAATTTACAAGTCTGTAGCACAACACCAGTATAAAAATAAAAAGAAAGAGATGCTAGACAGAGAAAAGCAAACACAGCCAAACTATATAGTAGGCACCAAGCTAAAGGTTGGTATTCTTCATGACTAAGGAGAACATGAATTACATTGAAATTTTTAACAATTTTCATTTGTCCACTAAGACCAAGGCAAATGCCAAGACACTGTTTCAGGAAACTTTAACAAAGTTAAGAAGCTTGGCTTCAGGACTTGTACTTTTAACATGTGAATATATTCTGCAAATTTCCAGGAGGGGAGGTAAGTTGGTCTTCTATAACAGAAAACCATTAATTGCAAATCTTACAAACAATAGCAATGTATTTTCACCTGTACAGAATGAAAAAGACTAAGGTCAGGGTGCCAGCACAGTAGGGCTATGATGTGTTCTTTTCTAGGTTGGAAACTGCCAACTTTTTGCTATGACATCCCATGATGGAAAGAGCCCTTTATCCCTATGAAGTCTCTCAAGATGCTTTGTTTGGGTTCGATTTAGTTTGGCTTTGTTTGGTTGCTTAAGACAGTCTTATATATGCCAGCAGGCTGGCCTCCATCTCATGTAACAGAGGATGCTTCAGAATTTTTGATCCTGAGTGCTGGATTGCAGGCGTGTACTAGCATACCTAATTTTGGAACCTCTTTAATAAGGATGATAGTTTCATTCATGAGGAACCCACTCTCATGACCTAATTTCCTCACAATGCTGCCACTTCCTGTTCCATCACACTAAAGTTATAAATCACTCAGTACATGAGCATCTTGGACCACATAAAGCCACAAAGGAATATGTTGGACTTATGCTTTAGTAGAATGCTTTGGGAAGTGACACATTAGTCCATATGCTAACACTCTCACTCCGTTTCTTAACTGCATGCCCTCTTTTATGAATTCTGAAATTCTTTGTTGGATTTTTAAATGGTGATGTTATTATGACCAGCTCACAAACCTAGTGGTCTTATTTCTGTAACAGCAAGAAATATCCATCTATATTTAATAAGTGTATGAGTCAAATGTATTTCTAAGTGGTAATTGTCCCAATACCTATTTTCACCTATTGAATCAGTTTCATGAAAGCAATCTTTTAAAAGTAAGAAGAAGCTTTCTCTACAAAACGCAAAGCTGTCTCATGCTGTTTCTGTTCATTCATCTGTTTATCCATACACAAACTCAAATCCAGAGACTATTTTTTTACTTCAACTATCACAAAAGCAGTGACAGTTTTATGTTAAGACTATACTTCAGAAGTCCTAGGTCCATCTGTCTCTCTCTCTCTCAATTTGGTTTTTGGAGACAGGGTTTCTCTGTATAGCTTTGTGCCTTTCCTGGGACTCACTCTGTAGCCCAGGCAGGCCTCGAACTCACAAAGATCCGCCTGCCTCTGCCTCCCAAGTGCCGGGATTAAAGGCGTGCACCACCACCACCCGGCTAGGTCCATCTCTTATTCAAAGGGTTCTTTTCATATCCCAAAAACCTCTTTAGAGAAAGTAACACAAATATAAACAGAAAATATACATTCATACACATGTGTACACCTACACATAATTCATAATGTATTAGGAAATGATTCACGCCTATTTATCAAAACAAATAAACTTTGAAGTGCTTTATCATTTATAGTGCAGGCTAATAAGAACAATGATATATAACCACTTCCCGTCATGTTAAACGAGTTCTTTGCCAACAGCAACAATAACAAAATGAGTGGCCCTTTTTTCTTTACCTCTGGCAAAAATTCAATGTTATTCCTGACCAGAAAAAGCTGCCGAAGATTCTGCAAGAGCTTAATCTCTTCAGGGATGCACGTGAGCTGATTGTAGTTAAGATGCAATGCAGAAAGATGCACAAGGGAGCAAAGCTCTGTAGGGATCATGGTGAGCTGGTTATGATTGATGCTTAGGTAGGTAAGATTCTTCAGCCTAAAACAATAAGCAAGCAAAGAGTGTGACTCAACCTCACTGGACAAAGAAAGTCCATTGTAAAAGTGTCACTATTAAGTGTCATTTTTTTCCTTGGAGCCCCTCTGAATCTTATCAAGTGTTTGGAACCTAATTTTTAAAAATAATTTGTAATCAGAAACCTATGTAATATCTAGATTTAATCAAAAGAGAATTCTGCCAGGTGTGGTGGTGCCTGTCTGTATTACCAACAACTCGGGAGGCAGAAGCAAGTGGGCCCCTGTTAGTTCCAGGCCAGCCTGGTCTACATGGTGAATTCCGGGCTGGCTACACTGCTGTAGCATCTTCTTAAATGAGATTATCACCTTGATCAAAGAAGCCCCCCAAAATTATCTTACTTATTCTACCTTGTGAGGTCACACAGGGGAAAAAAAAGATTCTATGAATCAAGAAGTGAGTTCGTAGCAGATATAGCATCTGCCAGCACTTTGAAATAGATTTCCCAGCTTTCGGAACTGAGAAAAGTAAATTATAAGCTGCCTAGTCTGTGGTGTGTTGTTACAACAGCCCAAATGGACTAAAAGAAAAATAGATCCACAAATGAGAATAGAGCCCAGGTGACCCAGAGTTGATTTCTTTTTCTGACAAAGGTGTCTAGGCATTTCAACTAATAAAGCATGCTCTTTGAACAGAGAGTGCTGTGGAGGCCCACAGAGGTTTCCTAGTGAGATCTGAGCTTGCGTATTTACCCATCAGAGCTGCATTAGAGGATGGCTTGACCATGTATGTGGTTTCTAGGTGATTGGAAGGTTCTACACTTGGCTGTGCTGAGGGAGGTCTGCTGTGGGATGGTCTGTATGTCAAATGCTCTGATTGATCAATAAATAAAACACTGATTGGCCAGTGGCCAGGCAGGAAGTATAGGTAGGACTAACAGAGAGGAGAATTGAGAGAACAGGAAGGTGGGAGGAGACACTGCCAGCCGCCACCATGACAAGCAGCATGTGAAGATGCTGGTAAGCCACGAGCCATGTGGCAAGGTATAGATTTATAGAAATGGATTAATTTAAGATATAAGAACAGTTAGCAAGAGGCCTGCCATGGCCATACAGTTTATAAGTAATATAAGTCTCTGTGTTTACTTGGTTGGGTCTGAGTGGCTGTGGGACTGGCAGGTGACAGAGATTTGTCCTGACTGTGGGCCAGGCAGGAAAACTCTAGCTACAGAGGTCTTTTGCTCCACCCCTTGGCATTCCTATAAATAGCTCTTTAGAAGAGAGGGGAGGGGCTGGTGGATAAGGATCCAAGCCCTCTCAAGGCTATCCTGTGTTTCTGTCTGTTTCTCTCCCCCTCTATCATTCTATCTAAATCTCTTATCTCTCTGTCCTCAAGAGTACCCTGAGGTAAAATGTGGGAGCTGGTCTCCCAGCTGGCCTCCCACAGAGTGCTAAACAGCTGAGTAAATGACTTAGGGTAAAATGACACTGACCATCACCTCTAATGTACAAACATTTCAAATTAGGTTATAGATCCAAATGAAAACCAAAACTATACTGTTTATAAAAAACAATACAGTATACTTTCTTGACAGCTTTGGGGTAGGCAAAGACTTCTTTAAAGTAAATATAAAAGAAAAAACATTTGTAAACTGATGACCATGAAAATTACAAACTATTGTTTATCAAAAGTACCATGAATAAATACATATTTATAAGCATACACATTTACATATATATGCTTTATAAAAGCTACCATTTTGAAAATTAAGACAAGACATGGCTAGGAAGAAACTATCTGCATTGCATATACTTGTCAAAGCACTTGTACTCAAAATACACAAAGAAGGCAGGAGCGATACAACTTTTAATGAACAAGATGCTGGAAACAAACACTTTAGGAATGAATACTCACACACACACATACACACACATACATGCATGCACACACACACACAAATATGTAACAACAATTAAAGAAAAAGATCGTGAATCTGATAGAGAGCAAAGTGGGGTACATGGGAGGAATTGGAGGAAGAAAAGGGAAAAGGGAAATGATGTGATTATATTTTACTTTCAAAAAATAAAAATATTTAGAAAATAAAAAGAATATGGATTCATTGGGAAATGAAAAAACAAAGTTTATATAAATGATGAGTAAGAACAGGAAAAGGTACATAACATCATTATGTATCAGTGAAATGTAAACTAAAACTCCATGAGATTTTATGCATACTTGAATAAAGAATATTTAAACTGCAGATGAGAATGTAAAATTGCATAATCACTTTGCTGAAACATTGGCTTTAAAAGTGACATATAAATTAACACTTATACAGTAAGGCTCTAAAACTCTACTATTTTGAACTGGAGTGAGAATTAATCATATGCCGATAAAAAATACTTGTACAAAACTATTTGGCACAGAACAATTCTTGGGCCAAACTAGAAGCAATATGAAGGTCAATAAGCAGGAAACAAGACAAATGATTTATGATTCATCTATACAGTAAAATGCTATTTAGGAGAAGTGAAAAATAATGAAGAACCCCAACAATAAGGTAATTCTAAAATACATATTCTAAGCAAAACAAGACACAGAAGAATGTGAACATGAGGGCTGAGAATGGCTCAGTGGTAAGGAGCACCTATTACATTTTTTTGGAGAAAAAGTTATTATAAAATAAGAATGTGTATATACTCTATGATTCCATTGAATAAGTTCTAAAACAACTAATTTGCTAATCAGTTGCCTGTGAGAGGTTAAGAAACCCTGCAAGGTAACTAGGAGTATTCTGGGTTGTATGAGGTTTTCTGAGTACTATTAGCATATAGACTTGTCATAACTCCCCAGATTATAGATTCATGAATCCTGCATACTATTTGCTCAGCAGAAAACCTCAGCGATTAGGTTGTCTAAATATCACTAACCTTCAGAGATCATGTAAGGTAGAATGGAGAGGGCAAAAGAGAATTTGCAAGGAATTAAGCAAGAAAGAAAAGCTGCAGATAAAAACAATGAAAGAGCTAGAGAGAAAGCAAAGAGGTTGACCAGTGGAGACAAAGAAGCTGGGAACCAAGTGAGCTCAGGAGCACATCAATTAGTTACCAAGTTGTCAGCCTTGAAGACATATCTACAAGTAATACTATACAAAACGGGCAGGTTGTAATCAAGAATGAAAACATTATCTACACACATATATGTATTTATATATGTGTTTATATATGTGTGTAGATGATGGATTTATGTATATGTGTGTATGTGTGTGTGTGTGTGTGTGTGTGTGTGTGTGTGTGTGTGTGTGTGTAACAACAATTATTGAAAAAAGAGGTCATGGATTTGAAAGAAAACAAGGAGTGGTATATGGGAAGGCTTGAGAGGAGGAAAGAGAAAGGGAAAATGATGTAGTTATATTTAAACCTCAAAAAATAGAAGAAATAATTTTTTAAAAATCAGAAGGAAATTAACTTGGAGTGAAGTAGAGTCAAGCAAAAACTAGACGTTGAAAAGGAATGAAGGAAAGGGGAGGGAGCTGGATAGGGGGTGAGAACAGCAAAGGTCAGACGGGGGGGGGGGGGATGGAGGGAGAGAATCTGGAATCAGGAGGCATGTCTAGGGTGTGCTAAAAACCTAGTGCAATGGAAACTCCCAGAAATCTGAGGGTGGCCCTAGATAAGACTCCTGGTAATGGGGGATATGGAGCCTGAATCAGCCATCTCCTGTAACCAGACAAGACTTCCATTGGAGGGATCAGGACACCAACCCAGCCACAAACCCCTCCACCTACCATTTGTCCTGCCTACAAGATGTGCTGAGGTAAAGGTGGAGCAGAAATTGTGGGAGTGACCAACTGATGACTGGTCCAGCTTGAAACCCAAACCAAAGACCAGGACAGAACCAAACACGATTGGCAAACAAACAAACAAAAAGTCAATTAAACGATTCCTAACGATAATCTGCTATACTCATAGATTGGTGGGTAGCCCAACTATTATCAGGAAAGCTTCATCCAGCGACTGCTGGAAACAGATGCAGATCCATAGCCAAACATTAGGCAGAGCTCAGGGAATCCTACAGGAGAAGGGGAGAAAGGATTGTAGGACCTAGTGGTGTCAAGAACACTACAGAACCAACTAACTTGGGCTCATAGCGGCCCACAGAGACTGAACCGACAACCAGGGAGCCTGCATGGAACTGACCTAGGCCCTCTGCATATCTGTTACAGTTGTATAACTTGGTTCTCTTGCGGGACTCCTAACAGTGGGAGCAGGGACTGTCTCTGACTCTGTTGCTTGCTTTTGGGTACCCTTTCCTCCTACTGGATTATCTCATCCAGCCTTAATAGGAACAGAGGTGCCTAATATCACTGGAAATTGATATACCATGACTGGCTGATGTCCATCCATGGGAGGCCCGCCCATTTCTGAAGAGAAACGGAGGAGGAGTGGATGGTGGTGGGAAGGAGAGATAGAGAACGGACTGGAAGGAGAGGAGGAAGGGGACACTTTGCTTGGGATATAAAAACAAAAATAAGTAAATAAGGAATGAAAACGCATGGGTGTGTCCCACAGCGAAAGACATGGAGCTTCTTCTTCATTGCTCAGTTAAATCATTGTTTCAGTTGAGCACTTTGGGTTTCCATTGACATGTTGTTTTTCTTTGCTATTCTTTTCCCCAAAACTCTGTAATGAGCTCAGAGCTTGAAATGTGTCTGTCATGTGTTTGGGTGAGTCAGGGTCTAACACCCTTCTCCTTTCAAGAAAGCAGGGAGAACACCTTGCAAAGGGAACCTGGAGAAGGGCTGCGCTTGCAGCTCCTCCTTGCTCCCCTCCCCAATAGTGTTGACAAATAACTTCACAAAATAGCTTCGCTAGGTGGCAGAAGAGATGGGATGAGTCTTTGATTCCTTCCCCTCCCCCTCTTTTTGTTTCAGAGATTCTCTGTGCAGGAGGCTTCTACTGTCTGCAGCTGTGCAGCTGTGCAGCTGTGCAGCTCTGCAGCTGTGCAGCTCTGCAGCTCTGCAGCTCTGCAGCTCTGCAGCTGTGCAGCTGTGCATTGCCACTCACAACACAGTTATCCAGACTTCAAACCTAAGAGCTGTGAAGCTGAAGATATCTTAACCAACAAATTCTTCTCTACCCCTCGTGGGTTTTGAACAAATTGAGAATAGTAGTGAACAGAAGCCAGGTATCAGCACAGAGCTGACATGGGCCCTATTTGTCCTCCTCTTAACTAAGCTGATTCATTCATAGCATTTACTGCTGAAGCAGCTGCTTGATTTCTAGAAGAGTGAGAGGGGGATGCCACACTACACAGCTCTCATGCTTTTCCAAAATTCATATACAAAAGAGTCAGTCTTTCATCTCTGGAAAGCAATGAGTGGGAAGAACATAAAACAGCTACAATAAAAAGCAACTCATAACAATAATAGTGAAAATCTTACTGAGAACTTATGCTTTTAAATTTTTTCTCATTTCTCATTTTTAAGATTTATTCATTTTATTTTTATTTGTGTATGTGTGTCTGTGTGTGTGCACATGCACACAAATGTACATGCACTAGCCATGCACACACACACACACACACACACACACACACTGGCACCAGCACATGAACAAACACACTTGACTATATGCTTGTGCACTACATGCATTTGGGTACCCATAGAGGCCAGAGGAAGGCAGATCACCTGTTCTGAAGTTATACGTGGTTGTGAGCTGCTGAATGTGGGTGCTGGGATAGGAACCCAGGTCTTCTGCAAGAGCAGCAAGTGCCATTAACTGCTGAGCCAGCTCCCAATAACTTACTGAATCTTAAAAAGCCTTTATAGATACTATTCAACCACAAAACCACCTTATAAAGTAAATACTATTATCACCCTCATTGTAAAAATGAAAAACATTAAGGTATGGAAAGACAGAGAAATTTCTCCCACTGGAGCTAGACAGAGAGCTTGTCAGTTAAGACTCAATACTGCTCTTGCAGATGACCCAGATTTGGTACCCAGTACCCATCATCAGGCAGCTCACAACTGCCTGTAACTCCAGCTTCAGAGAATCCCATTCCATGTACTGGCTTCCCCAAGCAACTGGAACTCACATACACAAATCCACGCAGACACACATTCATCTCAACGTCAGCCTGTAGTCTCTAAACATACAATCATACACATGTTGTACATAATTTAAAAATAAAATTAAAACCTTTAAAATAAGCCGGGCGGTGGTGGCGCACGCCTTTAATCCCAGCACTCGGGAGGCAGAGGCAGGCGGATCTCTGTGAGTTCGAGGCCAGCCTGGTCTCCAAAGCGAGCTCCAGGAAAGGCACAAAGCTACCCAGAGAAACCCTGCCTTGAAAAACCAAAAAAAAAAAAAAAAAAAAAAAAACCTTTAAAATAAAAAAGACTTCTCCAGGATGAGGAAGTGAAATTCCACTTGTAAAAATAACCAGTTAGCTTGTATCTATGGTCAGAATAGAGATGAGCTAGAGCTAGCTATAAGAACCACATGGCCCACAGGTTTAGGATCCCACTTTTTCAATGAAAGCCATCCTTCAGTTTTCCTGTATATAATCTTTCATGTGCATGCATCTTTAAATAGTGTGCACCCCACTGCAAACACAGCTTCTCAAACTGCAGAGTCATATCACCACTGCAAGGGCTTTGAAGTTCAGCTACTCAAAAGTCTCACAGCACAAGGGGCGGAAAGTGAGATCTAGGGCAGTTAACCAGCTAGTCCAAGGTCACAAGTCTAGTTGCACAAATTTATATTCTGAATCTGAGTTACCAGTTCCTTTCAATATGTCTTTTTCTGTTCACTGTATCAACATCAGTGCATACACCAATTGATTGGTGAGTTAAAACCATGGAAAAGCAAGCAACTGCTGGCATTGTAGTTATCATAAGTATTTCTCTTCTACAGAAATTAGATTGTTCATTTTTTTTTCAAATCTTATTTATTTATATCTTATGTATGAGTGCTCTGAATGTATACCTGCAAGCCAGAAGAGGGAATCAGATCCTATTATAGATGGTTGTGAGGGGCCATATGGTTGCTGGGGACTGAACTCAGGTCCTCTGGAAGAGCAGCCAGAGCTCTTAACCCCAGAGCCATCTCTCCAGCCCCCCTCCATTTTTTTCTATTTATTCTACTTAAAGTACTGCCCCCCCTCCCATAAAAGGATTTGGAAATAAGTATAGACAAGTGAATTGGAACACATTAGACTTTGCGGACAGACAGTCCTGTGCTGAGGACTGATCGCAGTGTCACATTCTCTCGGAAGCCTCTAGTTGCTCTTACATGCATATGTTTCTGTCCAATATGCAGTGAAGAATCTCCAAAGTCAACCTGAGCAGAGCTCTCTCCATCTGTCAGAGAAACAGCTCAAGAGTGCATACTAGCTCAGAAAGACAAGGCCTTCAGCTGGCTGCAGAAACACTGTAATGATGATCTGTCTGCACAGATGTGCAGGATAAGGGAAAACAACATATTTTGGTTGTTGCTAATGATAATAAAATGTGCTGGTTTTTATTTAATGAAAATGACATCGTAATTTTAAATCCTTTGCTTTTATACGACCTTTTCCCAATGAACTCAAAATGGTTTATGACATTGGTGAAATAAAATTTAATGTCCCCAATCTGTGATGGAGCAAGCTCCAAGAACTGAGCTGGCCTATCAATAACATCACCTTATACTCCAACTTTTACTCCTTTTTTTTTTTTTTTTTTTTTTTTGGTTTTTTAAGACAGGGTTTCTCTGTGTAGCTTTGCACCTTTCCTGGAACTCGCTTTGGAGACCAGGCTGGCCTCGAACTCACAGAGATCTGCAGATCTGCCTCTGCCTCCCGAGTGCTGGGATTAAAGGCATGTGCCACCACTGCCCGGCAACTTTTACTCTTATATTACCCGCTATTTCTCAGTTCTCAAAGTAGCTCAGGAATTATTTGCTTAAACTTGGTTATTGGGCGATGGTTCTGTTGGTAAAATGCTTGTTCCTCCTCCAGCCTGGCATGGCGAAACATGTCTGTAATCCCAGAGCTAGGGGTCAGGGATAGGCAGGTCCCTGGGACTTGCTGCCACCCAGTTATACACAAAGGATGAACTCCAGGTCCAGTGAGAGACCCTACCTCAATAAATAGAGGAAAGAGACTGAGGAATCTTCCTAATATCTTGATGACAGACTGTGGTCTCTACACATACTACCATACACATGTGTACACACATGCATACGCCATATACACATAAAAGAAAAAGAAAAAAAAACTTCTGTGACTTATTTCAGACTTCTATCTCCCTATGCTCTTTGTAACCACCCCCAGCCCCTGACTACTTGATGCTAGGCCTAACACCATCAAAGGGATGGGATGGAGTTTGGGTAAGCAGAGAAATGTAATGTTTAACCAAGCCTCACTCTAAATAAATTACCTGCCAATTTCTTCAGGAAGACTCTTAAGTAGATTGTAATTCAGATTAAGCAGAATCAACTCTTGTAAGCCACCTGTCAGAAAATAATATGTCATTTTAGCCATCTGGCAGGAAATAAGTTTTAGTCTTTCTATATACCTTTGAATTCCTTTTGGATTCTTGCCTTGGCCACGGTTCTGTTGGTTGCTGAAGACAGATGCTTTCTAGCTAAGGCAAAAAAGAGAAAATGTACCCCATTGTTACAAACCTAAGCCACCGCATCTGAGGACAAAGAATAGAAGCAGGCTCACCACACACTGGACCTGAGAACTAAAAGGCAGAACCAGGATGTAGTCCACTTTCTCACCAAAGCTTCCCTCAGCTTTCACACCTAGAGCTCTTCTGTCTCTGTCTTGTCACACCTTCCTTTTGAACCAACTGGCTTTATTTTCCACTCAAGTATAGTCACCCCACAACTCCTGCCACTAACAAGACAGAGTTCTCAATGACATATCCCACCATTAATCATGATTTCCCTAAGTTTCATCATCCAGGGCTGCCACCATGCAACCAGTTCCTGGAAATTGGTCCCATTTATGAATGAAACTACATTTTGGCTTAATCTTTATTTGAAACAAACAAAGGGCCAGAGATCTAGACTGCTTTTGCCAATGCTCCAACTTGAGAATTATGGTACCCAATTCAAAATATTAAAAATACCAACAGAAGACATGAACTGGATATCCTGTGGATTGGTTTTGTCTCATGTCATGTGATTTTTCTCAAAAAAAAAAATTAAGCCATTTTAGTCTATCATAATCCTAAAGAAAGCTTACAGTTGACTCAGCTTTAGGATAGGCTTGTGACCTTGGTGAATCTATGCTGCTCAGTGGGGATATGGTTATAAAACACAAGGGGTTGGAGGAGAAGGCATGGAGGATGGATTTGATCAAAGCGCATTATATTCATGTATGAGATTTTTCAAAAAGTGTATTTTTTTTAAATATTGAAAAGTTTTGCTTCAGAAATTTCTTAATCTCTGCACAGTGGGTGGGATTCTTTTTCATTTCTATATTAAATTATTAAACTCAAAGGTTAAATGCAATGCTATAGTATTCCTTAACTAACTTACCACAGACTCCAGTAGCAAATCTATGAATCCTGTTTCCAAATAAATGAAGCTTCTTCAGGGATGTAAGGTGTTTCATCTCTTCGGGAACTTCTTCTAATTGGTTGTTTCCCAGATTTAGTAATGTCAACTGTAAACATAGAGATTTAAGGTATTTGTACATTATCAACCTCCAAGCACAAAAGGCAGTAAGTTAAGACTCTGCTGAGGTCTACAGAACCTAAGACAACATAAAGACATTATTTTTATCCATTTTCTTAAGCTAGCACACAAAGTAATTTCATTATGGCATTTCATGCATGTCATCATATTAATTATTCTTATTCATCCCTCTTCCCCATAGCCCTCTGCTTTCTCCAGCCCTCTTTTGTTATTTCCAGTTCTGGCTCATCTTTTCCCCTCCCCTTCTATATTACATGTATTTTATTGCCTTCTCCCCAACCCCAGCTGCTCCTTCCCTACAACTTGCTCTTCTCTCATGGTCTCCTCTCAGACACACACACACACACACACACACACACACACACACACACACACACACACTTAAACCTAGATTCTGCATATGAGAGCATATGCTGTTCTTAGGCTGGCTCATTCACTTAAGTAATAATCTCTAGTTTCACTTATATCTCTGAAAATGTCATGATTCCTTGTTTCTTTATGGCTAAATGAAACTCCATTGTGCATGCAACACATTTTGTTTATCCATTCATCAGTTAATGACTGATAGTTCCATTTTTTTTTAACTCTTGTCAATAATGCAGCAATCACCACAGATGTGCAATTCCTCTGTGCTGTGTTCACTTACAGTCTTGGCGGGTATATATCAAGTAGCGATACAGGGGAGACATCCGCTATTTGTTTTCACTTTTTTCCAAATATTTATTGGCCATTTGCATTTGTTCTTTTGAGAAGTGTCTGTTCAGTTTATCAGTCACTTACTGGTTAGACTTGGTGTTTTGGTGTTTGATTTTACAGTTCTTTATGTACTTTAGATGTTATCCTACGTTTGATGTAGTTAGTGAAGAATTTTTTATAGTAACCTATCTCTTCACTGACAATTATTTCCTTCACTGCAAGTGTTTATCAGTTCCTAAGAGGTTTTTCGAAGAGTCAGTCATTAAGGATTTTTTTTTTTTTTTTTTTTTTTTTTTTTGGTTTTTTGAGACAGGGTTTCTCTGTGCAGCTTTGCACCTTTCCTGGGACTCACTTGGTAGCCCAGGTAGTAGTCACTTAATGCCAGGATGGCATTAAGGGTATTTTTAAGGATAGGATCATGTCATAAAAATAATAATACTTTGACTTCTTCGTTTTCTGTTTGTATCTCTTTGATTTCTTTCTCTTGTTTTATTTCTCTGTTAAGATTTCAAGCACTGGGCCAAGATTGGTGACTTACCTCCCTTAATCCCAGCACTTGGGAAGCTGAGGCAGGTGGATCACTGTGAGTTTGAGGCTAGCCTGGTCTACATAGTGAGTTCCAGGCCAATCAGGGCCACACTGTGAGATAACAATAATAATTTCAACAAGTATTTGAGCACTATATTGAATAAGAATAAAAGTAAATGTCCTTGTCTCACTCCTGAATTTAGAAGAAATTATATTTCTCTTTTCATAATATCAGGTATAGTTTTTTGCATAGAACTCTTAATATGTTAAGATATGTTCCTTGTAGTCCTGGATTGTTCAGAGCATTTATCATGAAGGGATACTGAACTTTGTCAAAGGCCTTTCTGGCATCTATTGAGATGGCCATGTGATTTCTGTGTTTATGTGTTGTCCTATATTTATTTACTGATTTGGATAATTTCTGAACCAATCTTGCATTCCTGGGATAAAACCAACTTGGCCATAGTATATAATCTTTTGAATGTGTTCATGAGTACAAGTTGCAGGAATATTATTGAGAATATTATTGAAATATTAGCCAATTTATTTTGAAGGTAGGGTTAAAATATATTAGCAATTTGAGGGGAAAGATGTGACAGAGAGTCTGCAGTTGTGTTAATTTTATATTACTAGTGTAATTCATTGTCACCACACATCTTTGCCTGGACTCTTCCTTGACTTAGAAGCTCCATTCCCTCCATATACATACATACATACATACATACATACATACATACATACATACATACGTGTGTGTGTGTGTGTGTGTGTGTGTGTGTGTGTGTGTGTGTGTATTCCCCCAAGAGAACTGCCGTAGTAAATTACAGACATCTGTGTCTAAGGCTTTCCAAAATACATTCATGGGGAAAATGGAAACTCTTCTGAAAAGGAAGGTGTGAGTCAAATCCCAGGGGAAGGTGAAATGAAATCAAAGCATAAGAAACAACCACTGGATGTAACAAAGCAAAAGTCATTAGTGACTGTGATAGCAGGGGAGTGCTGGGAAAGAAGTGTGTAGGAGTGACCTGTGGAGAAAACAAAAGAGCAAAACCAGTGACTGATAGACACCTTTTGAGACATTTTAACTATCATTAACAAGGCCCAATGAGATGGTCCTGGGTAAAGGCACTTGCTGAAAAGCATGCCAAGCTGAGCTCAATTTCCAAGTCCACAAGGTGGTGGTGGAGAGGACTTCCCCAAGTTGCCTTCTACACATGCACTGTGTGTGTGTGTGTGTGTGTGTGTGTGTGTGTGTGTGTGTGTGTGTGTGTTTGTACTTACCAAGGAAAAGAGGCCATGAATTTGAGAGAGAGTAAGGGGGTTGGGTAGGTTGGGTTGGAGGGAGGAAAGAGGAGAAATAATTTATGACCTCAAAAATAGATTATTTTCTTTAAAGGAAAGTTTTGTTATTTCGTTTTTGCAGGCATTTCATTCTGTACCCCAGACTGACCTATAAAAATGTAGACCAGGCTGGTCTCAAATCATTACAATCCACCTGCTTCAGCTTCCCATGTCTAGGATTACAAAAGGATGACATCAGCTGCTTTTAAATTTGTAACCATCTCCTAAATGTCAGGCAGCAACAAACACGCTCTGTCTCCATGAAAATATGCTAAGGTTCAGCATAATTAAAATTATATATACAATTCCAAAGACTAAGTCAAGGATTGAACCGTGGTTGAAAAATGCCTCCCCACCTAGATGTTTTATTAGCTCACTTATATTTATTTTGGACTTATTCGCTCTTTGTCACTCTCTTGAATGCTAGCCGTGATGTCATGAATAAGATACTCGGGCTGGAGAGATAGCTCAGAGGTTAAGAGCACTGACTGCTCTTCCAGAGGTCCTGAGTTCAATTCCCAGCACCCAAATGGCAGCTCACAACCATCTATAATGAGATCTGGTGCCGTCTTCTGGCTTGCTGGGACACATGCAGGCAGAACACTGTATACATAATATAAATCTTAAAAAAAAAAAAAAAAAAAAAAGATGCTCAAGAACTCTTATAATCTAATGTTGGGATGTAGGACAGACCACCACAAGTTAAAAAAAAATCATTTCTGTTATTATTAACTGCTAAAGAAGAAAACAGGGCGATGAGATAACTTGGAGTTGGATTAGGGTCATGGAGGAAGGTTTCCTTGTAAAGGAGTTGTTTGAGGTGGAAAATTGGGGGTTCCTTGACAAAGCTGATCCTAGCAAGGGTTTCAGTAACATGTCAGTTACATATGGTTCCTAAAAAACATTTTAGGCAAACAATTTTAAGTTCTTCGGTTTGCACTACTTCAATAATTATCTCCAGAAGGACGTTCTACTGGTATTCTCTCTGCAGTTCGATCTGGTTCCAATTCCCAAGTGATAGCATTACCAATTTCATATTTTTTGTTAGCACATTGTGTGGAAATTAGTGCATCTGACAATTAGAAAGAATTTGTGTAAGTCACCTAGTCTAGCATGCAAGAGAGAACATATACCTTCCCGGTGATCACAACATGCAACAGACAGCTCTTTGTCATTAATATCTATCTTCCACCCATTATTTTTAATTGTGTATTATACTTAATTAATCAGGGGAGGGTGCACATGCCACAGAGTGATTGTGGAAGTCAAAGGAGAACTAGCTGGATTAATTTCTCTCCTTCTACTACATGAATCTCAGGGATCAAACTTGGGCTGTCAGACTTGGAGGCAAGCACCTTCACTTGCTGAGCCATGCCGCTGGCCCATCTGTTATTTTTTTATGATTAAGCTCTAGCTCTCTGTACCCCTTACCCAGTTCTTCCCACAGCAATCATAAACAGTAGTTTTATTCCCACTCCTCTTACATAATATTTAAATTTTTTGAAGAATTGTTATTGCACTCTTTAAATTTGATCCATCTTTTCCTTAACCATTTATTTTCCTTAGGACATAGTTTCCAGACCCTTTGACCACACTGGCCACTTTCTAATCGCTGTGAATGCTCCTCTCAGAAAACACAGTGCCTAGGGTGACAAAGACCATTAATTCATGACACAAATGCTGAGGATGGTGGGATCTTTGGGCAGATGAGTACACTTTCATTAATGTAGTCTAACATGTCATATATTTCTGGCAATGGGGCACATTACTTGTGCATAAACTACACCCCCATGGCCAAGAATAACAACAACAACCCTATGTGAACTGTCAAGCACATAAACCACATCCTGGGCTTGTGCAATGAATTCCTGTCTTAATCTAAATGTAGGAATTTACATTTTTCCCTGTAAAAATTGCATCTTGTTGGTTTTGGCTCCTAAGACATCTCCCATGGATCATGCTTAGATCAGATTCTAAAATGTGATGATACCCATAAACAAAGTAGGTCAGCTTTTTTTCCCTTCCCTACTTTTGATAATATACCTACCATTATTATAATCCTGTGGGGGCCAAAGTGTAGGATCAGCTACAACTTCTTTTTCTCCTTTCTCTGAATTCAGTCAGTCATCAAATCTTAACATCAAAATTTCTCATAGGTGCAAGTCTCACATTCCATTCCAACCACTGTTAGTACTTAAACTTACTTACTGCCTCCCTCTAAAATAGCACAGCTGAATTTACAACAAATGTGCTATAACATTACTTAAGTCCCTCTTCCTAATCCTACTAGATTATGTCTAAACAACTGTTTGAATAATCAGTCCAAGAAGACCTGCCCATCAAATGCTATGTTTCCAAATACAGACCCAAACATTATGCAGAGAGAGACCTTAGAATACTCAG